AATCCCCAAATCGCCCCCCCCCCATCTTGTGTGATCTAATTTAGTGTACATTGGCTGGTTCCTTCTTAACCGATGACCCACAGTTTGCTGAAATTGTATATATACATTGTATATAACTCTCTGTCTATCGTGACGCGCTCAAACCCAGAAAAGTTCCGTCAAATATACGTTGTTTTCAAAATATTCTCATGACAATATCCTATATTGTAGTAGGGCACACGGGCTGTTTGTATGTGCGAGGTATGAATGATACAGAGCACCACAGTAGAACTGATACATAAAAAGGACAGCCGTACAGAAGAAAACAAAAACCCTCACACATTTTTTAGTTGTAAGTAACCTTCTCGGTTTGCTTTCCCGTGGGATGACAGCAGACATGATAGGGAAGTGACACAAGACACCCACACCATCAACATCTGAGACGTGTGGATTTGGATAAGGGGGGAAAGGGGGACTGGGGGATAAGGGAGTGGAGGGGGGGGGGTAGCATAAGGGTGACGTCAGTAGAGTGTTGGTAGTCCGGGGAAGACACTAGATATAGAGGTTTAACTATCATTCTTTTTTCTGTTCCGTTGTTTTGAATTCAAGGGTAGAGTTAATATTTCATCGAGGTTTTTCATATCTTATCTCATCTTATCTAAAATGGCGACTGTTGTAACCACGCGGAAGAATTCCCGCTCTTTCAGTCGTGGTCGTCTGATGTGACTTATGCTCTCCACGAGTGGAATGAGCAACAGGTGTCCCGCTTATAACGTACTCCCCCTCCCCACCCCTCCGCCTCCCCCGCCCACCTCCCTGCATACACAAGCCTGCCTAACAGTGACAAAACATGAATAATTCCGACAGATGGCCCTCGCTACACGGCAGACTCGTGTCCTACTGGAGGCTCCGTCTTGCTCTAACACTGTCCCCAGTCCTAGCCTGCCGCAAATATGTCCTAGCGAGTATGTCCTATGTCCTAGCCTGCAGCGATTATGTCCTAGCGAGTATGTCCTAGCCTGCAGCGAGTATGTCCTAGCGAGTATGTCCTAGCGAGTATGTCCCAGCCTGCAGCGAGTATGTTCTAGCGAGTATGTCCTAGCGAGTATGTCCTAGCCTGCAGCGAGTATGCCCTAGCGAGTATGTCCTAGCGAGTATGTCCTTGCCTGCAGCGAGTAGATCTACTACACCATGAATAATGTGATCCGGCAGGGAAAAATGTCAACGTACTAACTTCAACTTGTCTGTTTCTGAATTTTTTTTTTTTAAAAGGGGAAAAACCAGGAGTAGATCTGGACTATAATAGGTCAGCACTTTTACCTGCAGCGCACTATCTACCTAGCCTTTTGTTCCGTTCTTTTCAGAAGCATATCTATAACAAAAGTAGGTGCGCAAAACCTTGTAAATGAGAAACCAAGCCGAAAAATAAAACACATCGGAAATCCCACCCAAAAACATCGCCCAGAAAGAAACCACACCCATTTCAAAATAATCAATTTTCGAAAATTAAATAGCGGAAACTTTTTGTCAGCGAAGAGATTAGTCAGCACAACAATGAACAATCCACGGCTCTCCCCCCCACCCCCACTCCGCCCACGCCGTTGTTTGCTGCAGGTACCTCATACTGGATCTTAACTTTGTGTTTTTATATATTTTTTAAATTATTTTTATTTCCCTTCTGTTGTTTCTGTTCTCGCTGAAGTCATTGGGTGTATATTTGGCTTACAGCAGGGGTATACATACACCAGTGAGGCGCACCACTTTGCTACCGTGCTAGGCATTGTCACAAATTCGTCTTCAGGTCCTCCAAGAATGTTCAAATCTTCCCCCTCTCCTCTCTCTCTATCTCTCTGTCTCCCTCCTCTCCCCCTCTCTCTCAGTCTCTGTCTGTCTCTCTGTTTCCCTCCCTCCCCGGTCTCTCTCTCTCCCCCCCACCTCTCACCGTTTATGAAACGAGAAACAAATAAAACCCAGCATATCCCTCTCTCTCACGCATGTGATATTCAAGCTTCTTGTGACGTAAGTAAACCACACCAAACAAATCACAGCGACTTTGATAAGCCCAATGCCCGGACAAGCAAAATCGAGAACCGTTCTTTCCCATACACGGAGAGGGAGAATGAGTAGGGGATGGGGGAGGGGGTGGTGATGTCAAGAGGTCTCGTTTTTACCCCTCACCTCTTTGGATTTAGATGGAACTTCCTGTAAATAGCCCAGCATAGATCCCTCTGACGATTCCTGCTGCGACCTGCTTCTGCACCAGTTCTAATCCCCCCAAACAACAAGCGCCATTCATTGCCTGAGCCGACTGGTGACACATTGCATTCAGGACAAGACCCTCCCCTCCCCCACCAACTCCTCCAAGACCCCCTACCCCCA